TAATTCTAGGGAGGGGTTGTGAAGGATCTATTGGAATCTTGTTGGGAGGTGTGCTGTGGGTTTTACCAATATCCGTTGGGGATTTTGCCCCAGAAAGAGGGTGGTCGCTGATCCGATAGGAATCGGTGTCCCCAGGCTCAGCTAGGGTCCCGTTGGAGACCGCAAATAAAAGATGTCATGACCCTGGTTGGGTACGTTGATCGATGCTGTCAACGTCTATAAATATTTTCCCCTTTGGAAAGAAAGAAATTATGGCCCGATAACTTTTTTAAGAAGTCCCAGCCCAGTGAGTAGGGCAGAGGGAGGAAGGAGTGGGCATCTCTCAAAGGGAACCTGCTTGAGCTGTAGCTGCTCTGAGGGGCCGCTTACAGCAGGGGGCAGGCAGCAGGTGGCAGCTCTGGTGGCAGCAAGGGCAGGTTCCCTCCTGGCCTGGACATGATTTCCCTGAGCCCGTCGAGACAGAGGATTGGGAGGAGGTCATGTCCCTCTGGGGGCAATGGCCTCCCAGTCCAGTCACCGTGGCCTGAGGCACGGGGGGCCGTGGGTGAAGGCAGGCAGGAACTCAGAGTGATCCAGACGGGCCAGCCCGGGAGGGGGCAGCGGGGCAGGGTGCCTTGGGGGGTCCGGCAGTTCTGGGGAGTGGGATGGTGCCGGTGTTGCTGACGCAGAGCAGGGCAGCCGGGGCGACAGAGTTCCATTTCGGTGGCTCTACACATCGTCCCCGCGGGGATGGTCCACAGATGGCGGGGATAGCAGGCGGGAGGTCACCAGCTGGCCCTGAAGGGTGGAGAGGAGCAGATGTGGGTGTCTCCTCCTCCTCCTCCTCCTCCTTGGCGCTGCCACCCGGGGGCAGGGCCCAGGGCGACAGCAGGACAGAAGCCACCTGGCGCAGCTGGTCTGTGGACCTGCGGGCCTCCGCTTCCAGAAGTCCGGAGGCTCGTGACATCAGCACCTTCGTGCCCCAGACATCCCCGCCCCTGCTGCGTGCCAGCCATGTGCTGGAGGTGCGCACGTCGGAAGCCGGGCCGCCTGGGCAGGAACCCGCCGGAGGTGGCACCTATGTTGGGGCCGGAAGCCAGGGAGGCCAGAGCCATGACCCCGCAGGCTTCGGGGCTGCTCTGGCACCTTCGGGCTCAGCCGCCTCTGGCCTGTGCCCTTCATCAGGGACGCTGGCCACTTACTGTCTGTAACCAGCAACCACGCGGGTCTGGGTGTCCGCGAGTGGTGGGCCGCTTGGAGCTGGCCTCGGTTCTTGTAGCCCAAGGTCTAAATGGATGGAAGCACCCGGACTCTTGGTTGATACCTCGTGGCGTTCAGTCTTGCTAGTCCGTCTGCAGCAGGACCAGGCACAAGCTGACGCACCACCCGTTTTCTGCCCCGTGTCTTCCTGACTTAAAGCAACAACAGTCTCTCGTTTCTCACGGTGGCCGGCAGCTGGCCGTCTCCTGCCCAGGCTGCGGGCCCAGCAGGCCCTGTCCCAAGCGGCCAGCCCCAGGGGGGAGGTTAAGGGCTGTGCGTCTGTCACACGAGCTTGGGCCTCGTCTCAGTGTTGTGACCTCTGGCTTCCCAGAAGCAAGGGCAGCGCCACCAGGCTGCTAGAGCCCAACAGGTGCTCAGCCAGCCCGGGTTCCCTGGCAGGGAAACAGGCACCTCTGACAGCAGCAGCTCTGCAGACACTTGACGTGCTGACACCTTCCCTCACGTGGCTTCCAGGGGACCTGCCACCTCGAGGCCCTCAACACTGGCTCCTTTTCTCTGCCCTTGGCCCTCCTCCCTTTATGCCAGGAAATTGTCGGGGCATCTCAGCAGACGGCACCCCGAGACTGTCTGGGGCACTAGCCCATCCCCCAGTCCATCCACACGTCCCTCCATCTGCACATCTGGGCAAAAGGGTGAATCAAGTGTTGGAGTGGCACCTGTCCTGGGGAAACGCCTGTGGTCTGAACAGAGCTAGTGTCCTGGGGACTCACTCCAGCTGACCTCAGATGACAGCACTGCCAGCATGTGGCGGGTGTCATTCAGATTCTTCATTCTCAGCCCCTAGGTACGTGGGGACCTCCTGACTTGAGGACCCAGACTGACAGCCTTACACGTGATCCGCTCTGGGCTCTGTCTGCACAGAGCAGGTTCAGACGCGGCTTGGCTGCCTCCTGGCTCTGCAGCTTCTGATAAGCAGTGCCTCAGTTTATCCGTGAGGTGGGGATGATGGTCAGACCCTACCGGTTAGAGGTGGGCTCTGCTGTAAGCACAAGAGACTCCAAATAACAGGGCCTTAGTCACACACAAGCCAATTTCTGCTCGTGTTGCCTTTGAACAGTCACACAGCCAGCCGTGTCCCAGGGAGGCCGGTGGAAGAAGGCACATATCTTTGTCTTTTTTTTTTTTTTTTTTAAGATTTATCTATTTATTCATGAGAGAGAGAGAGAAAGAGGCAGAGACACAGGCAGAGGGAGAAGCAGGCTCCATGCAGGGAGCCGGATGCGGGACTCGATCCTGGGTCTCCAGGATCATGCCCTGGGCCTAAGGCAGATGCTCAACCGCTGAGCCACCGGGTGTCCCCACGTCTTTGTCTTGAAGACAAAAGTGCCACGTGTTGCAGGTCCTGACCAGGTCACACCCAGCAGCAGGTGAGCCTGAGAAGAGTAGACTTTCCTCTGGGGCCTAAGACTCACAAAGCTTGTGCCTGGGGTGTGCTCGGTGCCAATCCAGCCTCCTGCACAGAGGAGGAAACCGAGTCCCAGAGCAGGGTTTCTTCAGGACCAGTCATGTGCACAGGGACAGAGGCGGGGGCCAGGCCTGTGCACGTCCACACCCCCACCTGTGGGCCAGGAGAGTCTAGAAGGCTCGGTGCAATGAAGATGCCCACGTTTTTAGACCCGTTTTTTTTTTTTTAATATTTTATTTATTTATTTATGAGACACACACATAGAGAGGCAGAGACCCAGGCAGAGGGAGAAGCATGCAGGGAGCCCGACGTGGGACTCGATCCCGGGACCCAGCTGCAGGCTGGGTGACGGGGCTGAAGGGACGGCGCTAGCTCAGACACCTTGGACTAGTTCGGGCCCCCGAAGCTGCCGGGGACCGCACATCCCTCATGCACCACCCTTAACTTAATCAGCGGTGTTCACGTTCAAGAAAGCACGTATGCACCAGGGCCACCGAGCCAGCTCGGGTGGCAGGGGAGTGGGGGTGGGGTGGGCTCCGGGTTGGGGGGCTGATGGGATCTCAGGATAACATCGGAAACCGCCCACCCACCACCCACGAGGCTTCTGTAGCTTTCGAAAAGATGGACACACAAAGAGGTAGGGAAAGAACTGCCAGGTTTTCTAAAGAGAATGCTCTAAGCAAAGGGTTGGGGGGCCACCTGGGGTGGCTCAGCGGTTGAGCGTCTGCCTTTGGCTCAGGTGTGACCCTGGGTCCCGGGATCGAGTCCTGCGTCCTTCCTCTGCCTGTGTCTCTGCCTTTCTCTCTGTGTCTCGTGAATAGATAAAATCTTAAAAAAAAAGAAAAGTAAAAAAGAGGCAATGTAGCACAGTCCTGTATTTGGGAAAATCGTGCATTAAGTGGCCCTCTAGTCCCACCCTGTGTGTTGGGGGCGAGGGGCCGGCCAGGAAGGATTCCAGCAGGTGCGCAGCTGGCTTCCTCTGGAGAGAAGGGGTTGGTTGTGCTCCCAGGTGTAAGGACGGCACCCTGGCACCTCTCCCCAGCGCTGACAGCCCCCAGCCCCAGCCCCAGAGGCTCTGCACCTTTTTGATGACACCTGTCATCTCTGATCTGCATTTTTCACAACTTTTCTCTGCAGACTGCTTCAATTATGAAATTACCCCTTAGTTTTTGAAATCAGTCTGTGGAACCAGCAGAACTCCTGTGTGAGACTGAGAATCCCACGGCCTGCTGGCGGGGTCCTCCCCCCACCCTACAGGTTCCTCGCTCAGCAGGGTCACGTGAAGGCTCAGGCTGTTCCCCAGCTCTCGTGATCACGTGTAAATAAGAGAAAGTGCCGTAACTTTACATCTCAAGTCTCAACATCGTAATTAAAATTGCCAAGTCCCAAATAAGAATAAAACCTGAACACCTCTCCAGGCGAAAATGCCTTTCCTCTGGCTTTGCCTTCAGGGATGTATTTAGCTCCCATGCCTTGCCGCCTCCCAGCTGGGGGGGCTGCAGCCAGGCTCCTGGGGCGGGGAGGGGGAGGGGAGAGGGACAAGCCTCTCCCTCCTCCCCTGCTGCCCTCCAGCTCCCAAGATGAAGGGATGTCCCCCCTCCAGCTTCTGGTTTCTGCAGGGGGGGATGGGACACCACAACCGGTTCCAGAGAACCCCACCCCCACCCCAGCCATTTACCCCTCCGGAAACCTGAGGCCAGTTCCTTTCTCTGGAGTCTGTGCTCCGGTCCCCCCCAAGGTGGGTCTTGGCACCTTGCTTGCATTTCCAAAGTGAAGTAAGTTTGTGTTTTTAAATGGGTTCCTCAGTGTCTTCCACACACGGCCCAGCACACACTTGCACGCATGCACACACACATGCAGGCTCACACACGTATGCAAGCACATGTGGGATCACACTCGTGCACAAGTATGCACTGGCACGCAGGCTCACACGAATGCACACATAGGCACATGCAGGCTCGCCCGCAGGCGCACGCACACACACACACATGCACACCTGTGCCAGAAGGCGCACTGGAGGGCCTAGGGGCTGCCCACCAATGGGGCCCTGGGCAGAACATTTGCTGAGTGGCCCCAGGATGCCGAGCACAAGCCCAGCACATGGTTGGTTTCGGCCTGGTGGACGCCCTGCAAAGGCCTGCCAGTCCCTCCCCTAGAGGTGTGGCCCTCGTGTCTCATCTGTAAACTGGGCATACGATGGCTCATGGTCATGGAACAGTATGGGGTGGACTGAGTGAGGGGGCTGGAAGCCTGGGTCCCCGACCCCAGCGGTCACAGACAGGCCACACCGCAGGTCAGGTTCGGAAACGGCATTTATTGTGTCCCCGAGGGCGGGCCCGAGTCCCAGCTGTGCCACAGTCACTCCTCTTTCTCATCCCCGTGGGTGATGATGTAGCACAGAGACTTGTAGTCTATGTCCCCTGCCAGGTCCATGGGCGTCAGGGCAAACATCTGCTCCACCTGGGGCGGGGGCACCAGTAAGAGGGAGCCCGGCCTGGGAGCCTGGGGTGGCCACAGCTGTGGCCTCTCACCCTGCCCTCTGCCCCCAGCTCCAAACTCTAAACCCAGACTCCATGTGTTTCTGCTGACTCTGGGCGGTAAGGGAACTGGGGTGTAGGGGGTGTAGGGGGCCCAGCTGGGTCTGCTCTCTGCTTGCCCAGCCCCCACAACCTCCTCCCTTCTGGCTGCACGTCCTGGCCGCTCTGGGGCTCCTGCATGCAGGGGTGCCGGGTCACCGAGGCCGCCCCAGTGCCCTGCGGGGCACGACCCCCCTGAAGGAGCTGGGAGTCCTCACCTCCGCCGGAGAGAACTTGTCAGCCTGGGTCAGGAGAAGCTGCTTGAACCTGGGGAGAGCGGGGGAGGCCCGACGGCCGAGATGAAGGCTCCCATGGCCCAGGTGCCTGCCCCCCAAAGAGTAGAGAGGCCCCAAACACAGGCAGCCACTCTCACCGGGCCTCCTGGGCCGCAGCTCACACTTACTCATCCTTGTTCACCACACCCTTGCCGCTGGGGTCAAACATGCGGAAGGCGCTCAGGATGGCTTCCTCCGGGTCCGTTCCTGGGAGCCGAGGGAGCCAGGTGAGCACCTGGGCCCCCAGCCTCCCCGGCCCCACCCAGGAGGACCCCAGGGTGCAGGGGAGCCCTTCCCGTCCCAGAAGAAGTGGGAGGGTGTTCCCAGACACCAAGTGTCCCTCGGGGCTCAGAGAGGCCAGGAGCAGCCATCCCCGTGGACAGGCCGCGCAGGAGACTGGGATTTGGGAGTGAGTCAGGACTTGGGGCGACCAGCGCCCATGGGCCTGGGGTGCAGGGGAGACCTCCACATGCTCCGGGTGGGGTTGCAACCCCTCGAGGTAGCAACCCCTTGAGGTCTGGCTGGGGTTCAGGAGGGGTTGGGGCAGGTTCCAGGCTGGGAGATCCAACCTGGCCCAGGCTCACCATTGAGCTTCTCCCCGAAGAGCGTGAGGAAGACAGTGAAGTTGATGGGACCTTTCCCCTCCTGCAGCATGGCATCTAGCTCCTCTTCTGGGATGCTCACCTTCCCTGGCGGGGGGTGGGGGTGGGGGGCATGAGGTGGACACAGGGTCCCACCAGCCTCCCCTCCTTCCCAGTCACAGAGGGTGGAGAATCCAACAGCTCTGGCCTGGGAGGAGGTGCGGTGACCAGCGGGGGTGTGGGGGATGAGGAGACCCAGGGGGAGGGAGGTGTGAGCAGGGAAGGGGCAGAAGCACTGCCTGGCAGAGGGGGCCTGGGCCCTCTCAGCGGGCTCACCCAGCTGGGAGTAGGTCTCCCGCAGGTCTGACTTGCAAATGATGCCATCGCGGTTCTGGTCGATGCAGCTGAAGGCCTGCGAGGTAGGGACATGGTCACCATGTGGGAACAGCCCCCCCCACCCTGCCCAGGGAAGGCCAGAGGCAGGCAGGGGTCCTGGCTGGTAGAAGGAGCAAGGGGCCAGGACCACTGACTACAGAAAGGAGGGGGTGCTGCAAGGGGTGGGGTGGGCAGGGAACACCCTGGGCCCCTGGCAGTGGGGCACTCACTTCCTTGAACTCCTGGATCTGCGCTTGCTCGAACATGGAAAACACGTTGGAGGAGCCTCGCTGGGCCTGCTTGGTGGCTGCAGCCTTGCCCCGGGTCCCCGCCTTCCTGCTGGCCTGCAACACTGCAGGTGGGGAGACGTCCTCTCCCCGGCCCCCCAAAGACCCCAGTTCCTGGGCACGCTCCTGGAGCATTCCCAGGAGAGCCTAGGCCAGGGCCCTCCTCCCATCTCTGGAGACCCCCTCTCCAGGCCCAAGGCCAGCCCAGAAGTCACTCACTCGCCGCAGTCCTCAGGGCTGAGGACTGTGCCTGGGAGTGTGCGGCCTCTGGCTTCCCCACTCACACTCACCATCCTCTCTCCTGGTGGATGGCTGGGTCGCTGCATGGGGCCCTCAGCCCCTTTTGTGTTTCAGCCTTATCACCTGGGGAGCCAAATAAGGACAGGAGGAGCGGACAGGCCCAAACTTGGCAGCCTTGAAGGGGCTGGGGGAAGACAGGGCCCCAGGCAGATTCCAGCCACATTCCTGGTGACCTTCAGACCCCTGATGTGTAACATCCGGGCATCCACCCATCCAGCAGCAACAAGGGCAGAGCTCACAGGCTCACAGCTCTTGCCATTCTGGGTGCCCACTGAGATACCTCTCCCCCCGAATGAGAAGTCTCCCCTGCTGCCCACAGGTCCAGCCCAGAACATGTCCCGTCCGGGAGGACAGCTTGGGAGGGCTGGTGGGCCTTTCCTGGGCTTGGCAAGGGCAGTGGGTGGTCTGGGGATGGTCTCTGTCCAGAGACCACCAGGGATTCCCAGAGGTTTGGGTGAAGATGGTGGCGTCTGGTTCCTCCCCTACACCCCAGACCCATGGGCACTGGCCGTGGCCACAGCAGTACCTTTGGGTGCTGCTTCTGGAGTCCAGTGCACTACCTGGATCCCAAGCATCCCCTTGGGTCCGTCCCCATGAGTGGCCATGAGCCCTTCCTGTGAGGCTCAGCTCTAGAGTCAGGGGTCACGTACCCTCTGCTCTGTGGAGCAGAGAAGGGCTGGGGGCCTTGGAGAATAAACGTGATGGGCCACTGGCTGCCCAGCCTCCCTCCGCCGGCCCCTTGGGGGAGGAACACAGAGGGGCCAACTGCCAGAACAGGACCCAATGCCCCTTCTATGTAACAGGGTTTTATACCATAACCTGCCCACAAAGAGGGCTGAAAAAATCAAGAGGATCCTCTGGACTGTAAGGTGAAGACCAGCTAGGAAGTAGCTGACATTCAGACGGGATCCACTGGGTGAGCGCCCACAGGAGCCACGAGGAGTGGCCACATGCCGGCATAACGTTCTCAGGCACAACTGAGATTCTAGAGAACTGAAAGATCCCACGTAATCCCACCCGAGACACGAGACACGGGAGAGAACAAGGGCACATCTCAAGAGGGACGTGACTGCTGGAAGCCACAGCTCTGGGTGAAGTGCTGAAGGGAATTACAGTCATTCCAGATGGGCTGGGTGGTTCCTCTCACCCTGCCCCCCACCGCTCCCCAGGGGTGGAGGCTCTCCGAGATCTGCCCGCACATCCCACACATGGCCAGCAGGGCCCGGGCAAGGCCAGGGCGGCTGACTGCCCCTGCCCCCGACGGACAACACCCCACCTCTACTCCTACCGCCTACGGCACTTCACACCCCTGCCACAGCGGGCAGGGAGGGCTGGCAAGTTCCATGGGCGTCCACGTGCATGTGACCACATCTCCACTCGGTCCCCCGGCCCGTATGCACACAGATCAAAGGACACTGGTCAAGGCCACATTCTCAACTTTTGAGACTTTTAATTAAAAAACCACACAGTCCCAGGCTGGGCATGAGAGGGGGGTGTGGCACATGGAGGTCTAGGGAGAAGAGGGAGGCCTGGGCGGTCCCCTGGGTGCTGAGTGCTGTGTGATGTCTTCCTAGGCCAGCCCTGTGGGAGCTGAGGACTCTCCCATGGAGGGTGCTCCCAGGACTGCCTGGGGTTGGGGGTGGGGTTCTCCTCCTCATGGGCTCCTCTGGGCAGGGGTTCTGGGGGCTCTGTGTCTTGCACCACCTGGGAGCTTCCATCCCAGAACCACAAACCACTCAGAGTCAGTGGCAGGGGAGCAAGGAGGCCTCCAAATGCAGGCCGCGGGGTACCAGCCACCTCCACTGGGGAGCGGGTCCTCTCCCATCATCCACCCCCCCACACCAGGCAAGAAAACAGCCAGGCCTGGGTGCCGGGCAGCCCCTGGCTCCCTGAGGAGCCCCGGTCCACGTCTGGCCAGGTCAGCAGGGCTGCCTCCCCAGGGGTTCCCAGGCCACAGTAGGGTCCAGTGCAGGGCCCAGGCGAGGCAGAGTCAGGCCAAAGGCTCCAAAGGGCAGGCAGTGCAGAAACGCAGCCAAGTCCCGAGTGAGCAAGTCCCTTCTGGGTCCTTGGTTCCAGCAAGACGGGTGAGGGACTCTGGGGGTGTCTGTGCCAGCTCACCTCAGCCCCCAACCCAGTTAAGGCCCTGGTCTGTCCCATCAACTGCCTCTGAGGGAAGAGGCCTGCCCAGGGCCCTCCAAATCCCCTGTGGGCCCGTCCCTATCTTGTGGGGTGGCAGTGGGAATGGGAGGCGTCCAGGGTCCTTACAGAGAGCGACCTCTTCACTGGACCAGGCTGTGGGCACCTGTGGGGGCGAGTCCCCCGGAGCCCAAGTCCAGCCAGTCACTGCCTCCTGCTGGCCTGGTGGCCTCCGGGCTCACTGGCCCAGCATGCAGGCCTTCTTGCAGGCCACTGCGGAGATCAGGGCTGCGCCGCGGCCACTGCCCTCCTCCGACTCGATGAAGGTGATCTCGCAGCTGGGCGTCAGCCTGCGCACGCTGGCATGGAACCTCTCCTTGAAGCTGGGCAGGGGGAACGGGGCTGCGATGATCGCAGACCGCCTCACCTGGGGGGGGGCCCCCCTCCAGAGCTGCTACAGCGGGTGGTCCCTCCCCCTCCCCTCCCCCTCCCTGTCCCGAGGCCCGGGGTGGGGGGTGGGGGTGGTGTGGGGGGGTGGGGGTGGTGTGTGGTGCGGACGGTGGGGATGGTGGGGGGTGGGGGTGGGGGTGGTGGGGGTGGTGGGGCGCACGGAGCGGGGGGCGAGTTTCCACTCCGGCCCGCCTGCAGGGCCCCGGGAGCCACGACCGACCGACGGGACAGCGGCGGCGGCGCGGCCTCACCTGGGATGCAGCTTGTACACGGAGCCGTCCACGCCCACGGTGATGCGCATCACGTCCTCGCTGCGGCTCTCGCGCATGCGGTTGATGACGCCCGCCAGCCCCGCGGCGCACATGTGCGCGGCGCGCGTGGACACGCTCTCGCAGGCGCGGCGCACGAGGTCGCAGTCGGTGGCCGAGGGCCTCAGCCCCAGCGTGCTCAGGATGTTGTAGATCTGCTTTCGGTCGCCCGAGTCGCTGCGGGGCGGGGCGGCCGGGGGCAGGGCGTCGCTGGAGGGTCGCCGGCCCCGGGCCAGCCCGACCCCGCCGGCGGCGGCTCTTCCCCTCCCCGTGCCCACCTCACCCAGGCAAAGCGCTTGGGGCTCGGGCTCCGGAGGGGAGCGGGTCCGATTCCGCCAGGCACCAGCAGTGAGCGGGCCTTCGCGCCTCTACGCCCGGGGTCTCCGCTCTAACGTGGGCGACACGGGCGCGCCTCGGGGCCGTCGCGTGGACGAAATGAGACGATGTCCGCGGCGGCGGGGTGCCACGGAAGGGACACGCGTGGACGGCCGGGCGGCGGCTGCACTGCGGGCCGCCCCCTCCGCTCCGCCCCACCCTCACCCCCACCCCCACCCCGCCTCGCTCCGGCTCCCGCCCGCACCGGAGCCCCGCCCCCGCCCCTGACCCCGCCCCGCCGGCCCCGCCCCCGCCCCGCGCGCCCCGCGCGCCCCGCGCACCTCTCCACCTGCGACACGAAGCGCGTCTCGAAGGCTCCGCGCGTGCGCAGCTGCTCCGAGGCCTCCCCACGGAAGAGCAGGTTTTCGTCCACGAGCTTTAGCAGCACGAGCCGCACCAGCTCGCCCATGTATTTGCCGCCGATGATCTTCTCATAACTGCGCAGAGGGCGGCGGGGTCAGGGCCTCGGCCGCCCCCGGGAGGCCCCCACACGCGGCCACAGGGAGGCCGGGTGAGGCCCTCGCACAGCCGCTTGCAAACCTGGTCGTTTCCGTTCCCTCATTTATCAGCCAGGGGGTTAGGATGAGGAGTGCTCTGGGCCCTGTCCCGTCTGAGACCTTCCTCATCCGACCTTGCGCTGAGCGCACTGCGACCGCCCACGGCCGTGTCACCTGCCGGGAGGGGGTAATCCCGCTCCTCTGCCCACAGACCCTCTCTCTGGGGACGAAACCTTCCTGCCTCTCACCGTCCCCGTTCGCAGGGGGCGCGGGGGCCGCAAGGAGGAGGAGCCAGTTTGCAAAAGGCTTGTGGGTCTGCTCCCCCCGCCCCCCACCCCCGTTGTTTGCAAACAGGCCCGCGGTCCGCCGGCGGGAGCAGGGCTGGGGGCGGGGGCAGCGGGGGGGGCGGTCCTTACAGCTGCTGGCCGGGGTTCAGGGAGTTCTCGTCCACCACGCGGTCGTACTCCAGCAGGAACTCGTCCAGCTCGCCCGAGTCTCCGAAGGCGCCCCACTCGGTGTTGACGCACATGCGGCCCTCGTCCCCTTCCACCAGCTCCACGTTCTGCATCTCCTCCATGTAGCAGGCGTTACAGCCTGTGCCTGTGGGGAGGGCCAGGTCAGGCCCCACCACCGCCCGGGGCAGAAACCCCTCTCCGGAGCCCCTCCTGCATCTCTCCGCCCGCACTCCTGCAGGAAACCCCGTGGCCCTAGCTCCCCAGCCTCCTTCCTCCCACACCCACCACTGCTGGCCCCGGCTCGCTGCTGACCTGGCCGCGTGGACAGGCGGCTCCCCCAGGCGCCAAGAGATCTGGGTTTGCTGTGTGACCTGGCACGGATGAGCCCACCTCTCTGGGCTCTTCCTCAGCCCCAGTAGGAGATGGGAACACCTTCTGCTCCTATTACCTGGGGCCCTGGGAGGACGGAGTGAAATGTGTCCAAGTGCTTTGCCAGCTAGAGATGTGCGCGGGATGTTATGGTTTTATCGTATTTATGCACATCCTTGCTTTTTGGCACTTTACATAGGTGTGCTTGAGCCTCCCTGTCCTGGGTGGGGTTTGGGGGGCACCCAGAGATAAGGCACTGCCTGGGTCCCTGGCCGCAGCACAGAGGTTACTGCAGGCGGTGTTGGCTATGGAATTGGTAATTTGCAGCGTCCCTCGCAAAGTGAAAACGTGGTGTCCTTTGCTGATAAATTTTTAAATTTCGAAATGGTTTCTGAGCCTGTGTGGGCAGCATGCCCTCAAAGCCATTGGGGATGTCCACTCAAATGCTGGCAGTGACCTGTCCAGTAGGAATGTGGCCAGTGATGCAGGGCCTTCCAGTTTTTTTGTTGTTGAAAAAAATCCAGACCTTGATGTGCCTCCTCCCAATTTTTGGATCTTGGTCATTATCAGAAACATGTTTTTAAGCACTGAGCAGAGTGTTTGCAGCGCAGCCGTGGCCACAGGCCACCCCCTGCCATCTCTGCTCCAGCAGGGCTGTGGCTGAGGGAGGGGCTGCAGAGCTTAGGCACTAGGACAGGACATCCTGGGGAACAGTGCCCAGACTCAGCTGCCCCAGGCAGCTCTGCAGGGGACAGGCAGGAGATCAGGCTCCTGCAGCTCCTGGTTAGGCGGTGGACTCAGAGACAGCTTTCCATCTGAAAGTCAAGACTAGAAGGAGGAGACGGGAGAAACAAGAGGAGGGCTGAGGTGAGGTCAGGTGGCAGCTGAGGGCGTGTGGGTGACATTGGAATTGGGTTTGTGAGCGCACAGACAACCCCTCAGGATGGCTCTGATGGGCCTAGTGGAGCAAACAACTTTGCCACTGACTTTCTGGGAAGCCACAGCCCCAAGACTGCAGATAAATACTTGCGTGCCCGCGTGCCCAGAGATCACTGGCCACACAGGAGCGATGCTCAGGAAACATTCCTGATCCTCAGGAGCTTCTGGGAAAGGCCTGACGCCCACTGGGGCCAGTGACACTCCTTTCCTGATACAGGTCTTCCCTTTGGGCAGGGACGGGCCAGCCGCTCTGGGGTACAGGATGACTGCCTAGGAGGGGGTGACCGCACCCATGCTTATCCTCTTCCACTTGGACAAATGTGTCCCGTTTGGTCAATTTACCAGATGAGGGAATTTAATTAAATCCTGGTGGAGGGTGCCTGGGTGGTTCAGTGATTGAGAATCTGCCTTTGGCTCAGATCATGATCATGGGGTTCTGGGATCAAGTCCCCATCAGGCTCCCTGCAGGGAGCCTGCTTCTCCCTCTGCCTGTGTCTCTGCCTCTCTCTGTGTGTCTCATGAATAAATAAAATCTTTAAAAATAAATAAATAAATAAATCCTGATGGGCCGGTGTGCCATCTGATGCAGGGACCCGTGAGTGCTGGGACATACCAGCTGCATTCAGGACGCCCCGGCATCTCCCAAGACCACCTCACACCCTGTCACCTGTGGGGTTCACGCCTGGCATAGGGGCTCTGCTCTGACCACCAGTAACCCAGCACTTTCAGCCCTTACTCCTCAGGACTGAAGACAGAGGCAGGCAGAGGCCCCTGGATAGAGCAGGGCATGAATCCTTACCCACAATCATGCCAACCTCACACCGGCGGTCTTCATAGTAGCAGGAGATCATCGTGGCCACCGTGTCGTTCACCATTGCTACCACGTCCATTTCAAAGTCCTGCCAGGAGGCAAGGAGGCAGCAGTGACGGGGCCTGGGTCTCGGCCTGGGTGCTCTGGGCCCCTCCAGCCAGTGACCTGGCTCCCTGGCCAGTGGGGCGGGGGGTTCCCAAGGCAGGCACGGGGGCCACCTCACCCCTCTGCGTTTGATGGCGTCACGGAGGAGCCCCACGATGTTGTTCCCCTCTGCTCCTGACGCCTTGAAGCCCTTGGTCCAATTGAGGAGGATGCCCTGAGGGAAGAGGAGGGCTTGTGGCTGCAGAGGAATGCTGGGGGCAGCTGGAAGCCCTCCTGCTCAGCAGACCACAACTTTGAGACGTGTTGGAGACGGTTCTTTATGAATCTTCATACTTCTGCGGGGCTGGCTTCTAGCCCACTAACAGTGGTCCTAACGTAAAGGCCTAGAGGCATCGGCCCAGAGTCAAGGTGAGGTCCCCTGCAGCACGCCCAAGTGGACAAGGATAAGCAAAAGTTCTGTCACCCCCTCCTGGATGGTCTTCCTGTGCCCCCGGGTGGCCGGCCTGCCCCTGCCCTTCATACGCTTGGGGCCCAGGGCTTGGAGAACCAGGGAGCACTGAGCTGTATGTGTTTTGTATGTATGTACATGTGTAGATGTGTGTGTGATTTATACGTGTGCATACATGTGTATAACTGATGTGTATCCATGTAGATGATGCACACGTGTACGTATTACACACACATAAGCATGTAGGGTTGATGCGTGTGTCTGCGTGTGCACTGTATGCACATGTAGGGCTGATGTGTGTACATGTATATGTATGACTGACCTGTGTGTGCATGTATGTGCAGGCACAGTTGGATTCTGCATGTACGCATCATGTATCATGCACGTGTGTGGGGGGTGACTGGCAGGTGGAGCCCTGGCCCCTGCACACTCCTGCTTCCCGTAAGGGTGGCCCAGTATCACGTGGCTACGCTGGCATCCGGCTGCCTGCCTTTGAGCCCCAGCACCCTCTTCCATCCGTGGGCAGCTTGTGCAGCCTGTCCCCTGACCTGCGACAGGGTGACAGTCCTGCCAGCCCCTCAGGGCAGCAGGGGCTTCAGGCACACCGAATCAGCCGTATCTCGTTCCCCAAAGTCTCACAAAAGGTGAGTGACAGGGCCACAGTTTGAATCCAAGGCTCTTTCCTCACGGGGAGTGTCTGGGGTGCCTGTCTCTGGGGTGTGTGTCCACCCCCCACCTGGCCCCACCTTGTCGATGTCTTCATGCCTCACAGGAAAGGAGAAGGTGAAGCCCAAGGGCAGCTTCTTGTGCTTCATCTGATGCTTGTCCAGGAAATCGGAGATGCACTCGGAGATGTAGTCGAAGAGCTGGAAGACACAGCGCCAGCAGGCCATCGGCCTCAGCGCCCCTCTCCCAAATGCTGCAGCCCCTGGCACAGGGCAACACCAGGACAGGTCTGTCCCCAGCCCAGCTGGGTGGGCAGCCTGTCCCTCCCACTGGACGTCCAGCCACAAACTTTGGACAGAGGTTCAGCCGTGCTCATGACTCTGATTTCTGTACTTTGCTGCCTCCATGAGCCCGGCTGCCCCACCCCTGGCCCTGCCGAGGACCAGCCCCCATCCTGCTGCGTGGGCCCGTCCATAAAACTGGGTATTGCCGAGTGCTCTGCGGATGGACCAAGGTCCCCGCTGGTGCTGGGGCCCTGTGAGGTGCCCATGCCATCCCTGCCACCTTGATTTACCCCTATAGCATGCAGGGGTGTGGTGAGGACCAGGCTGCCATAGGACTCCTGCCTCGAAACCCTGGCCCTCAGGATGGCTCTGCCTCTGCCCGCCTCCCCTGAGGGCTCGTCATCCTTCTGTAGCCTCTCCAGTCCTCCCCACCAATGGGTAGCATTCCCGCCTGGGCAGACATTATGACTGCAGCCACCCCACCAGGTGTCCCTGCTGCTGGAAGGCGAGGGGGTGACACATAGGAAAGAGGCAGAGTGCTGTGTGCTGACTGCACCAGCTTGTTCCCTCAGCTGCCCTGTCACCCATCTGATGCCTCTGGGACACTGGGCAGGGATGTGACCTGCAGGGGCCACGCCTGGCACCATCCGCTTAGGCCTCTCAGCTACCTCCCTGGGCCCTCTGAGGCTGGCTGGCTCTCCTGTCTACAGGTGTCCCTGCCCCTGGGAGAAAGGTGGGCCCTCCTGCCAGGACTAGCGAGTGCCATGATCCTGGGCAGAGTTGATCCTGCCCCACGGTCCCCGGGCCCCCAGCCCCCGGCCCGTGGGCCCAGCCCAGATCCCCAGCCCCCAGCCCCTTAGCCCCAGCTGCTCACCATCTCAGCAGTACCAGTCATGGCATCCTCAGGGATGGAATACATCTCGTGCTTGGTTTTCACACTCCACTGCCCCTCCTCGCCCTCCCCCACCTTCACCAGCATCACCCTGAAGTTGGTGCCGCCCAGGTCCAGGGAGAGGAAGTCCCCGACTTCTGCAGACACAGTGAAAAGTGCATTAGCCTCGGGGTGCTGCCCAGCAGGACCCCAAGACCAGGAAGAGGAGGAGAGGACGGAGTGGGGGGATCAGAGGAGCTGGACTGGGGGCTGCTGACCCCAGGCACCAGGGGACCCCAGAGTCAACAGTGGAAGAGGTCAAAGGTGAACTGGGGAGCTCAGTGGGCAGCCGCTGCCTTGGACTGAAGCCACTGCAAGCCCAGGTTCCAAGGGAAGACCTAGTGAAACAGCGCAGGGTCAGGATTGGGCTGAGCCTGAGAACAAATTTCTTATTGCAAGATGCACAAAGCCAGTTTCCCCAAGGCGGTGAAGACGCCAGGGCGGGGCCGGCACGGAGCTATGGCTGCAAGGACTTAGGCTGGCCTTCCCTGTGGGTCCCAGGGACGCGGTACCTGAGCCTTCTGGGGTGGAGCGCACGTAGGTGGGCAGCATCTTCACGCTGGCCTCCTCGTGGGTCTCCAGCCGCAGGCCCCGCGCCATCTCCCTCTGCATCCGCCGCATCACCTTCTTCAAGTCCGCCTCCTGCATCTGGAAGTCCGCCAGGATCTGCTCTGCCTGCACGGGGTGGGGGGCAGCTGGGTGGGCTGGGGGCCTGTGGCAGCCAAGTCAGGCCCTCCCCGCACACACCGGGAGTCTCCTTTGCCCTCTGGCCTGGGCCCAAGATGACCCCTCATCTCAAATGACCAGTTAGGACCAGTTGAAAAGTTAGAGCAGCAGAGTTCCAAGAGCAGCCCCCAAATGCAGCGGCCGAGGCATGCTGGGGGGTGCAGGTGGCAGCTCCCCCTTTGTAGCTCAGATACCTGCTATGGGGAGGAGGGAGGCACTAATCAGGAAAGTGGGTGAGACAAGGCTGTTGGGCAGTCAGTGGGCACCTGGCATGACGGTCACAAAGACCCGGTCATTCTCCATCTAAATTAATGCAGAGGGAATGAATGGGCCTGTGTGTACAAACGGAGCATGTTCCACATGGCAGCTCCCCCAGCCCAGGGTACAGCCTCTGACCGGGCTGAGCCAAGCACGGCTAACCCGTGCTCCACCTTTTCTCCCCACAGATTTTATTTATTTATTCATGAGAGACACAGAGAGAGAGGCAGAGACACAGGCAGAGGGAGAAGCAGGCTCCATGCAGGGAGCCCGATGTGGGACTCGATCCTGGGTCTCCAGGATCACACCCTGGGCTGAAGGCAGATGCTCAACCACTGAGCCACCCAGGAATCTCCATCCTGTGCCCTTTTGCCAGTGATCTGGTTTCGTGCTGGGCATGTGGCCCCATCCTGGCCAATGACAGGGAAAGGGAGGTCTGATTTTAGCAGGACCTTCCTTTCCTTCCCTTCCTGGGAAGGTCAGTGTCCCTGTAACTGTGACACAGCTGTGTAGGAGTGTGATGGCCAGCGCCACAGCCGCGGTCCTGTGACAAAGTGGAGACAAGGCTGAAGGGGGAAGCTGTTGGTGGACACCGATGGCGGGAAGAGAGGCAGAGCAGCCCGGCCCCAACGCACTAGCCAAATGCCAACATCTGCCAAGCCATTCTACAGCTCTGGGTGCCAGTGCGAGCACAGCCCTAGGAAGGCCCTCATCCCAGTGGAGCGATCCTCATCCTGTTCTCAGAGGCCCACAGCGACAGTCTTCCACAACTTTCAAATGTAAAATGTGTCAGCAAGGACTGGAAGCATTAACCCTGGCACGTTTCTACCAACAAGCTGCACCCCAGGCTGAGCGCAGTGCACTCCCCTCTGTCAGTGTTGTCAGGGTGCTAGGAGGAGGCGCCAGCAGCCGCTTCTAGAAGAGCACAGGTGTGTGCGGGTGCATGCGGCCTGCGTGCCTTGCGGCCAGCACCCAGGAGCTGCTGTCTGAAGTCATGAGAGGCTGCCGGGCACCTCCCTGAGACAGAACTGTCCAGAGGGACCTGCCGTAGGACATGACAAGCTCTTAGCAGGACTGATGCAGATCCACGAAGGTCCAGCCACAGCCCCCTTGTGGCCTGGACTCGGGAGCGGCTTTGGGCCAGAGGCTTCACCCTCTGTGTCCAGGCCCATGTGGATCCCTCCACTGATGGTGGGTGAAACCCCCACTCTGCCGGCTTCCAGGCCAGAGAGACTCTTTGGTGGTACCCCAGAAATCACATGAGGTCAGACCACCTGGTCAAAGCATAACCTGAAGTTGCTAGCAACATTTAATTTCAGCCTAGCAGTTTCTCTCCAAGAATCCATTCTTTGGAAAGGGCCCTGCAAGCAAATGAGCACACGCGGTGCTGGGATGTCGGGGACTCAAGAAGTCCCCACATGCACCCCGGGGCCTTCCCGTCCCTGCTGGGACACTGCACGGCAGGAGTGGGAGGCTGAGATGACATTTGCTAGAACCTGATTGCATTCTATAAATACAGCTGCATCTGGCTGTGGCTCTCACTTGTCCTGTACAATATTCTCAAAAGCTTAAATTTGCTGTCAACATTCAAATAGAGACCCTTTTACAGACAAATCTGGATTTGACAGCATTTCTGTAAAAGCAGGTCTGCATTGTCGCTAGCCCTGTTGGGGGGTGGCCATCCACTTGGGGAAGGTGTGTATGTTGGGGGCAGCCTGTCCCTGACAGTGATGCCCAGTCACCTGCCCTCATACCAGGCCCTGCCCAAGTGAGGCTCTGTAGATTCCGGCACTGTCCACACCACAGGACTGAGGGGGACCCACCCCCAGGCCCCCACACTGTGGGAAACCCCTGTTCCTTGGGTGTACAGGTTGGGAGGGGCGCTGGGGGGTTCTATGGCCGCAGTCCAATACTCTAGGTGGCCACGGGCCAACACTGGCCTGCAGCAGACCTTGCCTCTCACCGTGAGGAGTGACATCTGTGGTGGGTGCAAGCCCCCTCCTCATGCACATCAGGGTCTCCTGCACACAACCCTGAGAGGAGGGGGCTCTGACCTGTGCAGCCCCCTCAACCTTCAGAGCCATGTGTCCAGGGGCCATGGGTGGGGTTCGGGTCTCAGGGGGGGGGCCTGCCTCCCAGAGCCCTTGGAACGTCACCGGGAGCAGACCCCATGTGCCAGGCCCTGCTCAGGGCACCCCTGGTTCCCCCCTATCATGAGTCATTGCCCCAGGATGCCCTCTTTCTTACAAATGAGGAACGTGAACATGCTGGCTGTGCCTTCCCAAACCCACGGTGCCAGAAGGCTTGGATCTGGGTTTGCACCCAGGCGCCAGCTCCGAGCCCACTCCCCATCCCACTGGGCTGCTTCCTGCCCAGTTTCAGTGCCCAGAGCCAGCTGGGAATTGTCCTATGAGTGTCATGCTGCAGTCTGTCAAGCTAAAGGACTTGCCCGAGTGGCCTGGGAGACGCAGGTCCTCCCTGGGAAGCCTTGGGAAGCTGACTGCCCGCCCCCAACCCTGCTCGGAGCACTGCCCAGTGCTCTCTGACTTGGGGGCTCTCCCACCCGGTTCTCCCGGTGCTCCTGGCAGGGCTGGGCTGGTGGACCGGGGATCCTTTTCCCCAGGAATGTGTGGGCAGCTGGGCCAGGGTCACCCACTGTGTGTCCCAGAAGCACAGGAGCCAGGCTGCAGCTGGACACATGACAGGGCACACATTGTCCTCTAAGGCACCGTCACAGTGGCCTCCAGTGTTTGCCCGGAGACCTCATTCCCTGGTCCTCAGGGGCCCACAGCTCCGTTCAGGCTGGCCTCCCAATACCATGCTGGGGCAGAAACACCTTGGGGCCTTCTCAGTGTCCTCATCTGTCAAGTAGAGGCACTCCTAGGTACCCTGCCTTCTTCTCTGTGTCCTGGGGATGAGGTCCCAAAGCCATGAATGCTGTATAGAGGGGGCAGGTATCCTGCCAGCTGAGCCCCCCAGATCCAGCCCCTGTCATCCCCACCCAAACAGCTTAACTCCTCCCACTTTGCTTCAACTCGTACACCTGATGACCCTGTCCAGGCCTGTGTCCTTCAGGATGTCTGCACACTGATGCCTGGGCACCCAGAGAGGTTCCACTCACTGAAACGGGGGCCAGGGGCCAGGGTAGGGAAGTCAGGAGCTTGGTGTCAGCATGTTGCCATGTGTGTTGGCCAAGGAGAGATAGAGACCAAGCAGCAGAAGGCTCAGCGAGGCCTGAGCGCAGGGGACAGCCTGGCCGTGCATGCCCCAGGAGCCAGTGCCCTAGAAGACACTGTCCCCACAGACATCCCAGGAGAGTCTGGGTGTCAGGAGGGGCAGTGGGGAGGGGGTCCGTGAGGCACAGCTTCCTCTCCACCCGAATGCCTCCTTCCCGGGGCCCACAGCACCCTGACGTCTGCTCCGGCACCCTGACCGCCCTGTGTGTGGGGGCTGGGGGCGGCCACTCTCCCTGGCTCTGGGATGGTCCTTACCAGACTCAAGGCTGTCTGGGTTTGGCTCCTCGTGGCATCTGTCGCCATGTCTCCGAAAGGCCAAGAGGTAGATGTTTTGGGAGGTGGAGACACTGCTGCCTGCGGAGGTGCAGGGCTGGACTGCAGCCGGGGACAGAGGCCCACCTGTGCAGGTGAGGGCCACCCCGCAGAAGAGCTGCCCTCGGCAGGCCGCCCAGGGCTTCTGCACTGAGAGGGCTCAGCTGGCAGTTGCTGAAATACTCTGCTCGCTGCCACCAGGTCAGGCGGGGCCGAAGGGCAGAGGCAGCCTGCATGGGGTCAGAGCTGACCGGGGCAGCAGGACAAGGCCAGGGGGCGGTGCCCACACCACCTGCACCCCCGTGTGGGGATTAGCTGCCCAGATGTTCTGGAGAGGGGACAGAACCAGTCCATCTGCCCCCAGTCCTTGATGTTCCCCGGGCTGGGGTCCCCACCCTGCCAGGACAGGAAAACAGTGAAGAACCCCCCACTCCCTGCCACCCTTCACCATGCACAGGGAGGGCCTGGGAGGGCCTGGACCCTGCTGGCCAGAGTGCGGCCCTGGAATCCCTGGAGGATTTTCATCTGAGGAGGGGTCCCACTTGCATTGCCTACACTTGGGGACCAGTGCAGCACTTGGGTGGGGAGGCTGGGACAAGATCCCGGCCCCCCGCCCCCGCAGGATCCTAAGGGTGCTGCCCATGTCCTGTCCCTGGTGGGTGTGTCCCCTTGGCCAATCAGGCCACAGGGTTGATATGCGGTGCTGCAGGGTGGGGGAAAGGAGGGGAATGAGAGGGGGGGGGTGCCCCAGCAGCTGCCCCCAGCCCAGGGCCACCCCCACACAGCAGGTGAAAAATGCTTGTTTTCATCAGGGTTTATAAACTGCAAATCGTCAAGACCTGTCTCCAAAGATCAGGAGGTTGTTCTTGGGTTTTGGGCTGGCGAGGTCCAGGCCCCAGAGCTTGCTCTGGGGCCTGGACCTTGTGCAGTGTCCCCCACCCCCGGCCCACCCCCCGCCAGGAGTGTCACTCCCAGGACACGCTGGCACCTGCCAAGCCTTGCTAAAATTAGCAGTAGCTCCTAAGTGGCTTGGGTACGGATGGTGCAGGGACAGTACGCCAGGCTCTCCCATCAACGGCCAGTGTGGTCACCCCGAAGAAAGCCCTTGACATGATCGATCCCTTTCCTAAAATAGAGCAAAAGTACCTTCACCAGATCTACTTGTGACAGGTCACTGACCCACCAGCCCCTGGCTGTGAGCCGCCGTTTTTTCTGTGTGTGTGGCAGTGGGACTCATCCTGAGCTTGGATGGGGGGCTTCTGGCCCAGCCAGGCTAAGCAGCAGCTGCCTCTCTGCTGGTGCGAGCACACAGCACCCGAGAAGAGGCTCCGGATCCTCCAGCCCTCTCCTATGGGATGCTGGAGTGGACCAGGGCGGGGGGCACACAGGCCCCCTTTCTGGTTTGTGGACTTCCGCTGCCCTCTCTAGCTTGCACATTGACCAGCGAGCATCCTTCCCCAGAGCCCTTCCCAGGACCACCTCCCTGCATTCTGTGGCAACAGCAGGGAAGGAAGGGGTCCCGACTTCCCCACACTAGGCAGTCCTGAAGAGCCAGACCATCAGGCCTCACACCAGCCCTCCTGTATGCCCAGCCCTTTCTCACTGCTTCCTCTTTAGATGGGTCAACACTGGGCTCCAGGTGAGGGTCCAGGAAAGGTTGGACCTCAGAGTAAATGGCTTATGAGGGACATACTTTAGAGTCTTTAATATCTCAAGGGTGGTCTTCAAGAGGATGGAGGAACATAGTTTCTGCTTAGGGGTTCTTAAAAACAAGGAAAACACAGAACCGCCTGACAATGGGCCAGGATGTCTCAGTGAGCTCCCCATTTAACGGGGAGAGAGAGAAGGACATCTGAGAGAGCTTGTCCTGTGTTCCAGGGGGTATTCTCATCCCTTGGTTGCTCACAAAGCCAGGTCAACAGGCATGATTTCATTTTCTTCTTAATTTATCTCCAGGAAATCACTGACAAGTTCAGTGGTGGATATTCCAGGATCGAAAAATAGCACATAAGCCATATAGCTAAGTACAGGGAATGAGTCCAATAAATTATGCTACATTTATGAGTCACTAAAAACAATAAAATTGATCTGCCTCTGTTGGCATAGAAAGACGTCCCTGACACACTGTTAAAGACAATGTGGTGGCTACCCTCCAGTGAGCCCTACCTCTGTTATTTACCACCCATGTGGTCCCCATCTGTGTTGAGTAGGCCTAGCCTATAAGAGGATATTGCAGAGCATGACCTTTGAGGAAAGGACTTCAAAAACATGGTGGCTCCTGCCTTGCTCTCTCTTGGATTCTTCACACAGAGAGAAGCCAGCATGAGGACAGACAGGTCTTATGAGGGGGTCTATTCAGAAGAAGATTCCTAAGTGAATCAATCAAGGCCTCCTGCCAATGATTGGGCTCCACCTTCCCAGGCAGGTCAGTGAGCCACCTTGGGAGCAGACCCACCTGCCCCAGCCAAGCCTTCAGATGCAGCTCCAGCCAGCTTCTTGGCTGCAACTTCATGAGACCCCGAGCCAGAACCCCCACACTGAACCACTCCTGAACTCCTGACCCGCAGAAATTGTGTAAGATAATAAGGGCTTGTTGTTTCAAGCCACTAAGTTTTGAGGTAATATTTTACATGACAATAGATGACTAATACAGAGGAAAAATGGTTATGTAACACAGCATAATGCACTTTTGTCATATAGACGTACACTCATATAATATACACATGGGATGAAATACAGTAAAATGATAAGAGTAATTATCTTGATGGTGGAAATATGAATGCTTTTATTTTCCTTTTTTCTTATCTGTATTTCCTATGTTTTTCTGCAGTGAGTGTGTAATAGAGAAATATATATATATTTTAAAAATCTATTTATCTTGGGGGGGAGCACACAAGCAGGTGGAGGGGTAGAGAGAAGGGATAAAAAGAATCCCAAGCAGACTCCCCACTAAGCATGGAGCCTGACATGAAGCTCTGTCTCACGATCCTGAGATCAGGACCCAAGCTGAAACCAAGAGTCAGATGCTCAACTGACTGAGCCACTCAAGCACTCTGAGATATATTTTTAAATAAAGTTAACAAAACAAAAAAGGTTAGGCCTCATCTGCTATTTTTGCATAGAAGCTCTAAGACCCAGACTCTGAAGGATGGAGGTTCACAGTTAAATTGGAACTTGCCAGACCCTGTATTCTAGTGGGATAGAAAATGAGGCTGGAAGCCAGAGTGCCCCATATGCCAGCCCCTACCCACCGTGGGCCCAATGGCCCTCAGCACTAGCTGGGCACCTGCACTGATGCAATGGGGCCTAGAGGTCAGCACAGTGTTGCAAGTGTTTGCTTACTGCAGGGCAGACTGGCTGTGCCCTTGTATGAGGGAGGCCAGGGGCTGTGGGGAGGATGATGTCATGCAGTGTGGTCAGGATGTCAGGCACAAGAGCAAGGAGGAAATGAGCCTAGAGACAGCAGAACATCCTGGGGTCACGATAATGAGCACTGGGAGGCCTCCACAAGCTGCCTGCTGTGCCAGATGCTTTATGTGGATCACAAATGACCTGTGAGACTACGGCTGTCATTTTATATGGGGAAACTGAGCCCCTTAGCAGTTACAGGACTTCAGAGATCCCACAGCTGTCAGTGGTGTAGCTGGGATCCATCCCCAGGTTGGTCTGACTTCAGGTGTGCTGGCAGTTTAGTCTTTCTGATTGAGGGCTTCTTCAGGGCCAAGCACACACAGGGGTCAGGGAATAGCCTCTGGAGCTGCTTCCAGGCTGGATATGTTCAGAGACCTCAGCTTCACCTGGCAGGGGTGGGCGTGGTCACAACATTTGCCTCTGAGGGCAGGTGGCACTAGAGGCCTGGGACCAAGTGTCAGGGCTGAAGAGCAGAAAGCCAGAGCCATGAGAGGGTCAGGAGCAGAGTGAGAGTGAGGGTACAGAGAGCATGCTGGATGTTGGCAGGAGAAGGGAGGCAGAGTGAAGGGGTCACCCAGGACCCCATGTGGGAGATGCACGAGATTGTTAGGGCAGACAGGAGTGTGAGGTCACCAGCCCGAAGTCTGAAGACTGATTCTGCCAGTAGGACGTGGGCAAGTCCCTTATTTTCTGAGCTTCAGTTTCCCTCTCAGTAAAGGAGAGAACAATTTACCTCCCTCACAGGGCTATTGAGAGGATCTGACAGGACAATACAGATAAGATTCTTGGCAATCCAAGTTGTTCAATAACTTGTAGCTATTTTTGCTACCAGAGGATGGTCTAGCCCCTGGGTCAGAGTTAAGAGCAAAGGGCATCCAATACTCTAGATCTATGGCAGGTCCAAAGCAAACTCCCGGCCCTGTGCCTGCCTGAGTATTTTGGAGTGTTCTAAGGAGATAGGCAGGTGGCATAGTCTCTTTGATGCCGGTCTTGCCCTACATCAGTGTGGCTTATTGTCTGAAAAGAGAACGTTTAGGGGTGACATCACAGAAAATGGTAAAGTAGGACACTCCAGGGATAGTTCCTCCAGCAAAACAGGCACAACTTAGAAAAAAAGGATCAAAATAACTATTTTGGAACTGGGGATCCTGATCAGTAGAGCAGCCAGTGGAGTGCTTGAGGAAAAGAGAGGTTACTGATGGCATATGAGTGAGCAGTATGCACAAACCGGATACCACACCTAATCCCTGTCATGGCTACAGGGACAGCACCCATGTCCCAAGAGCAGCTGGCTGGAGTGAGGGTGGACAGCCAGGCCCGTGGGTTGTGCACTGCGGTTTTTCTGGGCTCCCTGAAGGCTCAGTGCGGAGGGTGCCTTTGTTTCAGCCTGAGATATACAATTCCAGTTAAATGTTTTTGGGTTTTGTTTTGTTTTTTTGATCCAGATATTTAAGAAATCCTCTGTCAGGCCACAGGCTGGCTGCAGAAACATCAGAACAGAAATTTCTTTAGGGACCACACATGTGAGAAATACACACTTTGAAAACCATTTTTAAAAATTAAAAAAGAAAGAAATACAGACTTTGTAGAAAATCATTTGCAAAAGTCACTACACATGGACAACTGCAGCCCTCAACAAGCAAGAAAACCAATCCTTATGGAGGGGGAGAATGTAACTTCCAGAGTTGCCACATTATACTACTCAAAGTGTCAACT